TTCGTTGTGAAAGCGAAACTACTTTGTTTGGTCTTCCAAAAGAGGACGATATCCGCTTCGTCATGCCTGGAGCTGATCCGTGATGGTCGCTGAGGAAATACATCAACTTTCACCGTGGACAAAGCAGAGTCCAGCCCGCTTCAGATAACTCTATCCCGGCCTCAGTGCACGCTAAGCCGGGGCTTCCCCTCACGCTAGGCCGCTGTGTTTTTCGTTGCCACTGATGATTCAAATGCGCGTTTTAGGCAGTAGAGTAGCACTTGTTGTTTGTCATTTCTCCGATCACAAATGCAGACAGAGTTTTATGTTTATGTGGCGCGATGCAATGCAACGCGTAAAAAGACAGTATAAGTCATCGTAATCAGTATTTATGTCCCCACTGGATGCAATAAATGCCTTGTTTATAATGGGTTTCATTGTTTATGTCTCGTCGCTCCGGGATACGGCATCAACACAGTATGGTGAGGGGCGTAACATTTCTGTCGCACGCTTGATGTATTCGGCCAATCACAACGCACTGGACAGCTGGCCAATCACAGCACACCTCGCTTTTCAGACCGATGAGCTTTGTAAAAATCGATGCGTTTCAGAAAGGCGGGGCATAGAGGAGAAACAGTAATGTACAGTATTTGAAAAATAATGTGGGCATCAACACAGTATGGTGAGGGGCGTAACATTTCTGTCGCACGCTTGATGTATTCGGCCAATCACAACGCACTGGACAGCTGGCCAATCACAGCACACCTCGCTTTTCAGACCGATGAGCTTTGTAAAAATCGATGCGTTTCAGAAAGGCGGGGCATAGAGGACCTACAATAATGTACAGTATTTGAAAAATAATGTGTTTTTTGAACATTAAAGCATGTCAACATATTCTGTTACACCAAATACACAAAATAATGATCTTTAAAAAGGCATCATATGACCCCTTTAAAAAAAGATTTTAAAGGCCTAGTCTCTATTTTAATCAGAGATACTGCATTGATTGAAAAAATATTTAAACAAATTAGAGACAATTTTTGTACTATTTTCAATGGGAAAATTGGATAATTATTGCATAAATATGAATTATTACCATAAAATCCTCTCAAAATACAAAAGAAAAAATATTATTGAAAAAATATATATTACATTGATTTTACTGAAGAAAAAAAAAAGTTCAATTTCAGGTGTCCTGTCACTTTTGACCGCGAAGACCGTGTGTGTGACTCCCAAATGAGGAGTGCACAAGGATTAAGAAAGGAAGTGGAGGAAACAATGCAACGTTGCTGGTGATTTTGCTTTGGAAACGTCAGAAAACTTTAACTTGATTCGTATGCCAGCACTGGTCACAAATACTGTATGATAATGGAATAATGACTAGTGAGAGAGAGAGAAATGCAGGGCAGAATTAGGCAAATATCCTCTAATCATAAAGATACAAAAAAGGGCAATTAAATTCTGGAAACATCTGAAGCTCAGTGACCCCCAATCATATCATTATAAAGCCCTGCAAGACCGAGAGATGAGCAAAGAAAGCAAGCCCCTCCCTCAGCTGATCCAGAGCTTCAGTCCTGATGGCGCTTTGGCGGCTCTTCTGTCCCAGTCGATGACTTTATTGAGCCGGGACAGATCGTCGGGTTTGTGCAGCGGCTCCTCTGCGGCTCCGGTGGGGGGCCCCGC